GCATAATTTGTTAATGCAGAGATTTGAAAATATTGGACATATTTGCATATTGTTGAGCAGACTTAGGTCCTAAGGCGATTTAACTATTCTTTTCGCTTAAGGTAAAGCATAGTGAAGTCGTTTTAAGTTTGAACGTTAATACTTTACTAGATTTTATAATTTCTTGAGAAGAACCCAATATGTTCAAATGCAAATCCTAAAATCTGTTTCAATAAGGCAAAGCCTATTGGATTTTTTTTTAATCAATTAGACTTTCTGTCTACACAAGTGCCTATCTGAGAGCGATAAATTTATTTGTAAAAGGATGACAACTATTTTCGAATTTTCCATTCAAACAAGTTCGTAATTGAATTTTATCAATTATTTTTTTCAGTTTTTCAAGTTTATTTACTTATGAAAAAGAAAACGCCATAACCATGAGATGTTAATGCCTCTTATTGTTTTTGTACAGGCGTAATCCTGTTTCACGGTAGTGTGGGATTTCATTTAGTTGATAATTCATTCAGCTTCATTCAGCTTGGAAAGTGGTTTGAGTTTCCTTAAAACAAAAAACAAATCCATAGCCGAAGCCGAAGTCGAAGCCTCATCAGTCTCAGCAGCCTCTTCATTGGATGCATCGCTTACCCATTCACCTTCTGGCATCGTGGCAGATTAGCTTTAAAATCCATAATGGATGTGTATAACCAGTCCGTCTGTTTGTCTGCTACTAAACAATTGGCCACTTGGTATTAAATTTTTTTTCCACAATGTTTTTCTTTTTTTGCATTAATTTTATTTTCTCAAACTAAATGAAGTTTGTTCGTTGTAATAATAATCCGGTCAGATAAGAAAAAACGTGTTCATCATGACAAAACAATAAAAACAAAAACAACAAACAATAAACAATAAAAAACGCTTTATGTCATAAGTTGCTTTTATCTACGAAAATATAGAAAATTTTTGAAAGTAGGAAGCTAGAAAAGAGTCGCGTCTTAATAGCACTTAAGTGTTTAACATTTGCTCCTTTGGAAAAATATTACAAAAATTATTCCCCTCAATTATTGATACAATCCTTTACCATTTACCATTAAAATGGAAGGTGTAGCAACTAATTATGACATAAGAAAATGTTTCGTTTGCTGAAAATCTTTGATTGTTCGTCAGTAAATCATTTCTGTCCATTTAAAGAAATGTACATCGGAGCAAACAATCTGTCTTGCTGGGATCTTTTCCAATATAAAAAATAATTACTTGAAAGTAGCGACACATAGGATTCCTTTATTACAACATTTAAACTTAACAAATAACCTCTACTATTAGTTCCCATAATGCTCAAGACTGCAATCTGGAGTGGTCAATTGTGATGACCCCAATTACCTTAACCGATCCTTAGGGTTTTTATGAACAAAACCTTTTGAATAGTTTAGTTTTATTACATATGTTATATGTAGCAACAAATTTACCTCTAAGATAGAGACTAAGCCTCCCGCTAATTTATTTTAGACATTTATAAAAATATATTTAGATTTTCAATATTAATATTAAAGAGACGGGTAATATTGGTCTATGGTACCTGCAGTAATTTGTCAAAAATCCTTCAAAAATCCTTCAAACATTTAAATATCCTTTCTGTACAGTGCAAAGAGTTTATTGGAACCCATTAGCTTTGAATGGGTTAATAAATTGGTATTTAAAAGTTCATCTAGTGATTCTTAAATTAAGATTCTTTTTAGAACCAGAATTTTTCTCAAAAGGCTCCCTCACAAAACTAGAGAATACTTTAAGTTTTACTTATTGTCGTCAGGCACCCGTTATGCAAGTCAGTTAACCCTGTCGTTGCCATCATCTCTTTCATTTCTTTAAAGGTAATTGACATGATTACTTTATTCTTTATACATTAAGGAGTGTAAGGGTGTTGTTCAGCATTTCGTCAGACTTAAAAGCTAGTAAGACCATAAGACGTAGTATAACCATTGTATGAGCAATTTTGTTAGCAAATAACTCTGCTTCAAATATAATTATCAGATTAGACCTAATATAACCATTGTATATAACTATATATATATATAGTCTGTCTGATGTAAAAAAATATTATCTCTAACTGAAACATGGCTTTTGGTTTTATTCTTTGCCATTGTTCGCCCTTGTTCTGGTACATGTGAAGGATATTGAGTTTGCCATTGTCTGCCCTCATTCTCGTACAAGTGAAGGATATTGAGTTGGAAACTTTCACTTCGTCTGCAATTAGAAATTTAGAAAGAAAGACAAACATTTACTGATTAATCATATTCCAAAAGGCGAAAGTCCAGTTAAAATTTGATACAGTATAAAATATCTTTTCTATATTGTTTTCTATTATATTAAGTCCACATTATGTCTATTTTTTTATTAATTATACAAATAATCAATCATTTCTATTCTATTGAACTAAATCGAATAGGAGATAATAATGTGCTATGATCCCAAAAGTGTACCACACTCTGGCCATAGAAGATCTTTTGCTCTACAAACTAGAACATCGATGGCGCTGTAGATTTTTGATATATCGAAATAGACAAAATAGACGTATATAGAGAAACGAGAAAACCATCCGGATTAGAATAACAATATTAAATATTACAAATTATAGAGACCTTAAAAATTATATAAATCAGAAAGAATATAAGAGTTAGATATGCTTTTATAACAGAAAATCACAGCTTTGCTGAGGGAAGACAGTAGTGATAACAAATTTAAACTGAAACCCATATTATAACTATAGTATAATATTGAGAAATACTTGTTTAAACTACAACTAGACTAATCACAAATATTTTTTTAATGTAATATGTTGATTAAAGATAATGATCTTATAATAAGTGATTGGTTAATTAGTAAAAATTATCCACTAGCGACAGCCGGAAAAATATCAAAAATTTTGAAAGCTCTAAAAGTGTAGTAAATATGGATGAAGTCACTTTTATTGTTATGGATCCATAGTCAATCAGTAGGTTTGTAAACGTTACGTTATACCGGCTAATAAAAGGATTGACTTAGACCTGTTGCCTCATTGTTATAAGAACTGAAAGGTTTGAAAAATACTTTAAACTTTTGGCAAATCCTGAAAGGGTCCTGGAGTTGGCTAATATACTTAAAAAAGTGAGCCCTTCTATATTCTAGCATGGTTCACCAAACTACTGTAAACCGCCAAGAAACAACTACTGTAACGGTTTACAGTAGTTGTAAAATATCAGGAAAACACGGTTGGTTGGCACCCACACCCCTCGCGCGTATGTACAAAACTCCGAAATGAAAACCACAAGGAAGGAAAAAGTGGGGTGTGACGAAAACTACTTGAAGAGTAGTTTGCTTACATAATTAATAGGCAGTTGAGGGAAATAGGTGATTATTCTTTGTGAAAATACTACGCTTATAAATTGTTAATATTTGAAGATGTCAATATTATTAATATATGAACTTTTGTATAGAATATTACTTTTTTAATTTTTAATTTATAGAGTTGGTTATAGTAGGTGAACGCATCTGGCTACACTGTATTTTTGACAAGGAAGGTGATAATGTCTAACGATACCACTAGTTAAATGATATTTAGTTTGAATAGCAACAAATAAGTTTCTTTTCATGCTGTTTGTTAATTAAGCAGGTCCATCTTATATAGCCGGCGATGTATGCATAATGTACTTTTATTTTTACTTTTTGTATTATAATAATTTAATTTTTTTTAAGCGAACCTTAAACGGTAATTATTGTGTTACCCTATTTGCATTAGGTTTTTTCTTGTATAATAAATGGTTGAACTCTGTATGTATTAATACTTTTATTATACAAACTTCTTGTTATATTATTAATAATTATTTAATTTTTTTTAACTAAACCTAACATTTAAATAAAAAATTAATTTCCAATTTTTATTTTGTTTTTTTTTGATAAATAATTGGGGTTTATTTATAATTATAATTTTTATTATTATTTATAAAGTAATTTATAATTTATTATATAATATTTTTATTATTTAATGTATAAGTATTTGGCAATATTCGAAACAAATGTGTGGTCAGCCAAAAATTCAGTTAATTAAAAATGATAAAAAAAATTTTTGTTGTTTCAAATTTACTACTATTTCTTCAATAAAAAGCCTCTATTGATAACAAAAAATCTATTTAATATGTATTCATCATTTAATTCATAAAAAAATTTAATTAATTATTATTAATTATTAATTATAATTATAATATTATTTTCAAAGTAAACTCTAAATGCTATTTATTTTATTATTTTAAAAAAAATTTTAAAATTTCGAAAGTTGGCAACATTTTTCATGTGTCTTCTCGCATTAAAACACAAATACAGTGCCTTTCAAATATTATGTGTAAACAACGCGTATCAAACTGTTTTACACATTTCATTTAACCGGATGTAAGCACAATATGGCAAACAGAGCTATAAAGCTTTCAATTAGAGCTTTACAAATTGATAACATGAAAAAAACGTAAACCACATTCTATGAAAAATTTATTGCGGGGGTACGGGAAAACATAAAAGCGAAGAGCGCAAAACTTGGTTACGTTCGATAGCAAATTTCAGTTGCTATTCCACGCTTATGAAGTCAGTTTGTTTAGCGCAGTACGTTTTCCGTTAAGTTATTTATGCGCGTATGGTGCTAAAGAATAAAAAGAATAAAAAATAATAAAGAATAAAATTATTGAAGCTGAAAATTTATTTATAAAAACAAAATATACAGTAGCGCATAAATTTAAATCATTGTTTTTTTTTTATTTAATAAAGACGAAGTTTTAAAATTAATATTTTTGCATAATATATGTATGTATATGTAAATATAATAAAACAAAATCTTCTACATATATACATACAAAGAAGAATTAATTTTTGTATACACAAAACGACAAAAAAAGGTTTGTAAACCAAAAGAAAAACGCAACAACAACAACAGAAAAAACAACGTTACACTCAGTCAAACAATAAAAAAAATTGAATATAAAAAATAAAATAAAGTAAAAAAAAAAAATAAACGAAAAGCATAGAAAAGCGTAAAGTGATACTTCTTATTTTCTTTTTGTTATTAGTGCTGATTTGTTGTTGTTTTAACTTTTCTTTTGAAAAGTTAGTGCACTTGTGCTATATTGGATTTCAATACAGTTTCAATTTCATTGACCGAATTTAGTTTAGTTTTTATTTACCACACAGAAATTGTTCACGTAACATGTGCATTAAAAAACCAACAAATTTATTTTGATAAAAACTAAAATCTACTTATTTGCCAAACGTGTTACTCTGCAAAAAAAAAAAAATTTAAATAAAAAGATTAAAAAAAAATTAAATTAGATAAATAAAAAAAAATCATTGTGTGCAGCATCTCGAAAACAACTGTAAACCTACGGTCTAACAACTACACAAGTAACTGTTTAAAATCGTTTAACGCCCACCACTTATACAGCTGTAAAGCCAAAAGTGTTAAAAATTTTTTTTTAGTGAAAAATATTCAATTAAAGAAGTTCCATTAAATGTTTTGCTAATAAAGTAGTTAAAAATTAGTAGTTAAAGAATTAAGTAAAAGCATTTAGGAAAATTTCCAAAAAAATTAGTTCCATACAAAAGTACAACAATTAATTACCAACCACGGCTACAACAATAAGTAAAAACAGAAGCAACCTTCGCTTGGTTACTCCAGCATAACAGCTACTAAATAGTACAAAAAAACAAAAAAAACCACTACCACACAATAACTACACCAACAGCAACACTTCAATATTCCCAGCGATTCAAATCTAATGTAAGTATTAACATACATAAAAGAAAAAAAATGTCAGCACCGCTACATACCAACCAACTAACCAACCAACGAACATGTTCCCAATGCATTATGCACATTTGACATAATAAAATAAAATGAAATAAAATAAAATAAAACAAAAATAATAAGAAAAGTAAGAATTTAAAAAAGTAAAAAAAAAAAAAAACTGTGCTTTAGCTTTTATTTTTTCGTACTAGTTTGTTTGTTTGTTTGTTTTGTTAGTGTTCAATATTATTAGTGTTGTTAGTGTTATGTTATTGAAGAAAAAGTTTAATCTTGTTCCATTAGTGTATGCCTTTGTTGAACTTTAAATCAGCACGTTGAGCTGTTGTTGTGCTTTTTCCATACTTTTGCTTTTACACTGTAGTCAGTCGATGATACTTACGTACCGTTGCTGTGCTCCTACAGCGTCCGCCCTTCTAATAGTTCAGGTTCAGTTCAGTTATCTCAATTCCATTTCGCATCCATACATGCGCATTTTTGTTGTAATCTTGTTATATTGTAAAATTGTCTGTCCGCTGTGTTAACGTTAACTTCGCGTTTTGACTCTTTTTTTTATGCTCTCATTGTGGCTGGTAAGGCTGGTAAGGCTGGCAAGGCAGGCGTCCGTTGATTTGAAATTATCTTACACAAAAAAGTTGCCACAAGTTGTAAGCAGAAAAAGTTGAAGCAAAGCAAAGGTAGAAGAAGCAGAAGCAGTGGAAGAAGCTGGAAGAAACAAAATGAAACGAAAGTAGTAAGCAGCAGTAAACAGTAAAATGGAATGAACAATTTACAATGTAAGCAAAAACAAAATAAAGGCAAATAAATACACTTGTCATTCTAAGCCAGCACTCGTCAATCTCTGAAGCTGTTTGTGCTTATATTGACGTTTTAATCGACAAATTGGCTAAATAAATCTTATGAATCCTGTTTATGTTGCCATTCCTTCATCAGTTTGCTTAATAAGAAGATATATTAAATAATAATAATAAGAAAAAAAATTAATTAATTAATAAAGTAATATAAAATAAGTTATTAAAATATTAATTACTTTTTAAGTATCTATAAAAAAATATTTAATATACTTTCATTTTGTTGCTGTTGTTATCTAATAACGTTTTTAAAGTTTATTGGACTTCGTTTTATATTTAGTAATTATTATTTTTTTTAAGATTTTTTAACCCTTTAGTAACCAAGTAACCTCTACAAAAATATTTCTGTGAAATTTTCATTTAATACGCGATAAACTTTTAAAAATAAATAAAATATAGATTTCATAACGTTTTAGTAACCAACTAACCTAGACAAAAATATTTATACAATATTTTTATTTCATAATAAATTTTTAAAAATAAATAAAATAAAATGTTTTTAAACCTTTAGTTACCAACTAACCTAAACAAAAATGTTTCTATGGTATTTTTAATTAATAATACGATAACTTTTTAAAAATAAATAAAATAAAGAGTTTTTAAACCTTTAGTAACCAACTAACCTTAATAAAAATGTTTCTATGGTATTTTTAATTAATAATACGATAACTTTTTAAAAATAAATAAAATAAAAAGTTTTTAAACCTTTAGTTACCAAGTAACCTGAACAAAAATATTTCTATGGTATTTTTAATTAATAATGCAACTTTATAAAAATAAATTAAAAAACAAATATTTTAAATTTTAATAGCCAACTTATCTAAACAAAAATAATACTACGGATTTTTTAATTAACTTATACAATGAAAAATATAATAAAAAATTCTTAATTTTTTTACTTAAAATAAATAAATATGAAAAATATGATAAAAAATGCTAAATTTGTTTGTAACTAATTTAAAAAAATTTGAATTTGAATAATTCTCAAAGCTTTTATTGAAGCCAGATATGAAGAAAGTCCCCATTAGCAATTTCTTCCGATATCTCCACAACCAGTAGTTTTCCCGCAGACCTCGTTCAAGCCTTACACTTCAAAACCCCTCCCAATATCTTATAAATATCTCAGATAAATTTATTTAAAGTTATATATGAAAAGAATATATTCGACCTTGAATAAATAAAATTAGAATTACTTAAAATTACTATAGGAAAAAATGAACTAAAATGGTGATTGATGAAGAATATTAGGAGATATTCAAAACAGTTATGAAGAGCAGAAAAGTTTACTTGATTAAATTAGATTAGAAATAAATTTCTTGACATGAACGAAAAAACTAATTTTTAATTACAAAGATGTTGTTCTGATTTCCAATATGTTTAAAGGTGATCGCGGAACTAAGATATAAATATAATTCTTTGTAATCAGTTCACAAAAAATGAGCTTACATGAAGAATAGTACTCGAATACTGGAATTTTAAGGAATTCAGCCACAAAGACTTTTATAGTTAATTATATTTTCTATAGCTGTGGTTTATGCGTTCGTTAAGTAAGTTTCTTGTTAAAACAATTATTAATTGACAAAACTGTAAGTTTGTGCTATATAAGTTATACACGGTGTAAGGTCAAGTATTTTAAATGTGACCCTATACTTCAAATTTGAGAAAATAAAAGTTCAATCCTTCTTCATACTAGTAATTTGAAAACTTATATGTGAAATGAATTTAGTAAATATTTTCAAAGCACCCTATAATGGCTATTTGTCAACACTTGATACACTTGTATGGTAAGCCAAACTTGCAATATCCTCACTCTTAATAGTTCATTTTTAATGCCATTCATCATATTGTTAATAAAGAATGTTAGGTTTTTAAAGATATTTGTCAGTCAGTACAGGAAGTAGACAGACCATATATATCATATTCTTGACTTGTAAACCGAAGTAAATAGGTTGAATGGCATACGACTATCTGCCAGTTTGTCGTCCATCTGTTTGTCACCGTAGTATTTTTAATAATACGTTTAAACAGAAGCATTTATTGTAATAAATAACATTTTATGTAACCACAGGGAAATAGTTATATGCAGAAATTTTCACTCTATTATAATAAATCAATCTCGACTTAAACGTTTATAGAGGTATATTTTTAGTGAAGGTCTTTTGAAAGTATGGATTGAATATGGTCACGCCGTTTACAATTACAGATTATTATATCCTCTAAAATTTGTGTTGGTTGCCTGATTTTGAACTATAATTCAGAGTTTGTTATTGTGTTTGGACAGATGCAGTTAATACTGCGGTAAGCAATACTCCTTATTTCCATTGAATCACCACTACTTAACACCAAACTTTAATAGTTTGCTAATTATGGAACGCTAATAAAATGCTGTAGGTTTTAAGTCTTAAGAGAGTTAAGAACAAGATTACTTAAAACGAATTTTTAAGCACTTAGTTCTTAACACCGAAGTTTAATAGTCTGCTTATTATGGAACTCTAAAAGATGCAGTAGGTTTTAAGTCTTAAGAGGATTATATATTACTTAAGGATAATATTACTTAAAAATTCTTTTATTTAGTTCTTAAAATTGGACTTTAATAATCTGCTAATTAATAATAAATACAGTGATTTCAAGTATAACAGAGTTAAGGACAAGATTACTTAAAAATTCCTTCAGTTTTTGGTTAGAGCTGGGCATAGTTCGGTTCCCAACTGATGGTCTCGATACTGTTGAAACCACACATGTGCATACATCATATTCAAATCATTTCTAAAGCTATAGCATTATTATATTTTATTACAATATTTATTAATTTATTATTTGTTATTTTTAATAAATTCTCAAGATTCAGGCAATATGATAAATGCATTTCAAAGATAACATAGTGATATTTATATTTTATTTTACAAATAATATTTTTTAAAATATATTTATTTTACTTTGCGCAATTTATTATATTCGATTACAAAGCCTACATATTACTTAATAAGAATAATAATAATAATAATAAAATGGATAAAAATCGATAGAATAACTGTTTGAAATAACATTGAAAATAAGAGTTTATTCACTTTTTGATTTTTGCACGTTTTTCTGCTCTTAAAAAATATCAAGTTTTAATCATTAAAAATTGCGAAATAAATTATTGAGCAGGAACTGACATCCGCTACTTTTGTTTATGCAATAAGATACATTTGGTATTTATTTAGTCACATCATTTCAAAGTATAAACAAAGATTTAGTTTACAAAATTTTGATGATTCATTCATTTGAAGCAAAATTATAATAAGAAATCCAACCAAAAATACATATAATCGTAATATTTATTTAATGAATAATTTTACTTATTTACGAGTACATATACTATATTTCTTTACTTTATTTTGTTTTAAGTTGTAATAATTTGTTTACCATTAATTATATTTTTTTACGTTCTAACTAGTTAAATCATTTCTTCTACGACTTTCAAAACTAAGATTACTCAGCAAATGTAAGCAATCTAATCTATTAATTCGTATACTCATAAAAGAATGATCTCATACAGACTCCACACAATTCTGAGTAAAGAACTTGTTTATAAAAATCTTAAAGATTGTTTATACCCAAAAAAAGATATTGTTCATAGAACTATGTTGAACTATAAACCATTCTCTTTTTTATCTCAAATCAACCTTTCCAAATTTGTCATCAGTTATGGTGTTCTTTGTCTGCTATTCCACAATATTAATTTTGGTGATATATGTAGATTGAAGAGACAATGCAGTGGCAGACCATTAAATGACTTTTCGCCGTTTTGCTACCACATTACTCGCAAGAACCCCTAATATAGAAGAGTAGAGATTAAATTCATCCCGTCGAATTTATATAATTTAATTGATCTCTCGTTTGCATCGATGAACAGTCTGCTAAACTGTCAAAAAAGTATTTTTCTAAAAACCTATTTCTACTGGATGCCAAGCGATTCATTTAAATCTAAAGATATTTAACCTATTTAATATGTTTGATTTATAATTTTATGTAAATTAAAAAAAATTTACATAAATAATTGTTATTTTCTTTAACACTAGTGTTAAAATTAAAGAATAATTTATTCCGTTTGCATTTAAATAACAAAATAACTTATTTTTA